ACCGATGGTGAACCACGAAAGAGAAAAGGTGTCCGCCACTAAAGGACCGACATTTTAGTGCAGTGGTTGTTTACAAAAGCTTTTTTTTGAAGAACTAACTTGCAAAAGCTAGGCACCTGCACGGAGAATGGTCACTGCTCGGTACCTTCCAAGCGGCGCTCTTTCCCCATGAAACCACCGTTTCTCTAACGTATTCCCCAAGCCTTCCAAGCTTCTTCACCACGATATGGAAACCCACGTCGAGGTAGTTGTGTTCGTGAGCGTTGAGTTTGAGGGAGTAATACCACAGAAGAAAAAGTCGGACTCGAAAATTTTGGTGACGGACATAATCCCTCGATGACATACCACGAGTTGAGACAATATCCAGGACAACTATCAAGAAAAAAATTGGCTTGCGGTAAGACAACTAGCTACTAATCGCCACGTTCTATGACTTTATCTGCAATAACGCCATGCACTCCACGCCATCTACTGGTTCTGACCCCCTATGATGATGTTACCAGCGCACTCGGGACCCTTACACCCGTTTCCTTTGCCAGGACGAACTAACGAGAAGGCTCTGCCATTGATGTTCGAAGGTAATCGAATTGGTATTTGCATCATTGGTGAAGTCCCACTAAAGAGTAACGAGACTGCAAAGTCCAATTTGTTCAAGTGGATCGTGAAGATCCAAGCTGGACACGGGAAACGCCAGTTAGAGTCCTCAAAAGGAGTCATAAAACTTTGGGAAACTCTCGAAATCGATCGAATCTATCCTGGATTGCACCAAGCCTAGGTGTCCCATTATAAATCGTACAAGCGTGTTAATGTGACTAATTTTTTGGGCTCTATCGGGAACTGTGACAAGAGGAACCCTAAGTGTAGCACTGGCAGAGGCCCATACCTTGAGGGCGGGATAGCGCAGTGGTTAAAAGCCATGTCAATCTCCGAAGATAACGAGGAAGAAATATTAGTTAGAAATAGATGCCCAAAATAAAGTTTTGATGAGAAAACACGGAAAAAGCACTAATTATGTAATAGGATTGGCGTGAGAAGAAGATGGGATCAAAGCTGGATCTCTTCGGGAATGAAGGGGATGAGGAGCGTAATAAAAAGGAGTAATTACTGACTTATGGCTCAGAACGCCTTAATAAAAATTAAGTATCACTAAATAAATAAATTTATCATAAAAAATAATATAAAGTTTATTTGATAAAGATCAGTCGACGTCAATGAGTAAATCTTGTTCACCAGGGAGATCAACGATGACGTAAATCCGCATTTCACTGAGGAAACTTCTCAAACATATTTTGTGAGTCTGAGAAATATTTTTTATTGAAGTGAACCTTTCTTGGACAACGGCTTTGCTTGAACTCTACTTCTATCTGCTTTTCCATCACAAATCGAGAATATTTCCGTATCCGGGAGACTAGGGAAGATTCCTCCATCTGTTGCAGATAGGGGTCGTGGAGCGGAAAAAAGCGCTGTCATCACCATCACATTTTGCATATTGAACTATTCTTCTTCTACTGACTGCTTATAAGCTCCCAGCAGCTGATTTATTCAAGGAAAAAGGTCGGTTTTTGAGCTTTTGGAAGCAAGAATCATAACATATGGCCCCCAAGGTTGCTGTACTCACCTAGTGCGTATTCCACAGTAAATACCCTTTTGAATGCAAGTGCGCGGCGTATCCTAGTGCTGTCAGTCAACCTTAAGTGCTAAAATTTTCACATTACACCATAAATCGCTAACCTACTTTTCTCCTGAATGATCCGGAAGGCTGATCATCAAGGATCCCGCTTCAAGTGTGGACGAGCCCACTAAATTGTAACGAAAGCAAATGGAAAGCATGGATGGGCAAAAAAGGTTGAATGAGGCCAGAGGTGGGATGAGTAGAAGGCCTTGTTAACCTCTCTTTTGGCCCCATGGTGGGCCATCGCCGTACCACTGGAGCCCGTGGGTGGTAAGGCAACATGATCGAGCTCGATTATTGGGGAGGGAAGTTTTTGGGGTGGGTTAATGTTCTGGGAATTAATTAACCAAAAGAGTATGGCAGAAAGGAATGACGTCATGGCTCAGTATATGGAGTATGAACATCCATATGCAAGTACAATGGATTACTTCAGTGTGGATGGGCTGCTGTTCCCCCTCTGACTTCAACTTTGACTTATGAAGACGGATGGGTTCTCTGTCCTGAATCTGATAAGGGATTCAAGCCAAGGATATGCTCACATGACAACTCCCTTCGCCTTCAAACAATTACTTCCCGAATGGGATCCTTTGTCCCACGATTTGGATTTTATGCTGCTTTCAAGGCAAATCCCCTGGTAAAGATGAACAACCACTGGAAAAAGGAGATGTTGAGGATTCTATTCAATAAAATAATGATTCGCTAGATATTACAGCAGATATTGATATAAGTAGGTGATTCGAAACGACGAGATAGAGACGAATGTACCATTGTGAAATACTTCGGAGACGGATACAAGCGGACGAGAAGCCCTCTAGCAGCTGGCCACGCCTCCACATACCTCGGGCTACTGCTTCCACACAGGAGTACGTACTTTACCAATGATGGTTCATTATCCTTACGAAAGACGTGGTCTAACGAAGTCGTTTCGAAGAGAACCTCATGACAATGAAGCATAGCGCAGAGGCGAAACGGTTGCACCGCATAGACCTAGTCCGTGAGATCGAATACCGCTTAGATCCACTATGTTCTATGGTCCTTTTTTTGGTCACTTACAATCAAATAATAAATATAATTGCCTAAGTATTTGGAAATACCATTGAATGCACCTAGTTTTCCCAAATCCAAATGTAGATGATGGAACAGAAAGAGAACTGCTGTTCACAAGCATGGCCCATCCATCTTAACTCCATCTACATCGTTTCTTTGATATTTCACTGGTCAATTTCCTTTATAGAGATCACAGGGGAAAGGACTATGAAATAAGGCAGCCTAATCAGCTGGAGTCAGCTAAGCATCTCACCCATATTTAAGAAAATTTCTGAGAAAAACTCAAAACGATCAATTTTTTAAGGAGTAAAATAATGGGAAAATCGATAGCAGTTCCATAGTAAAATGTATAATATTATATTATTTTATATTATATGGTATTATATTACATTATATTACATCATATTATTTTAATAATGCATCACAGAGACCAATCTCCAACTGTAAGGGCACAACTGAAAACTTTAGTTTGAATTGAATCTCGAACCTACTAAAATGAAGGCACATCTGAAGATGGAAGGCCATGCACAATACCTCTTATAAAACGATAATAAACGTAGATAAACAAACAAATAAATAGATAACTAACAATGTTAACCCAAATCGGAAGCACCTTTTCAACATTAGTTCTTAAAATGAATAAAAACTCCTTTAT